GAGATTGGTTATTGGCTGTATCCTTGACCAGTCGATATGCTGGGTTTCGGCTTTATCAACTCAAGCTGTCATGTAACAGTTTGTCTATTGTAAACATACACACTGGTATCTCAACTGTTCAGTATAGTGGCTGGTCATATGTTATCTGCGACCAATCGTATCATGAGATACCTGTCACAGAGGAAAGGACAGGTGATGGGGCGTTGGCGAAATTTCTGAAGAGCACGTTTGGTCACTCAGCGGCTTGGACATTCTCTTCCCACAGAGGTTACTCCTGTCATATCTTCCTACATAACCTCTGTTCTAATACGGCCCTTTCATGGTGTGAGCGTTCAAGACTCGTGATTGGAGACAATCAGATTTAGTTGTGCAATCAGCGACGTTGTTTCAAAAGTGATCATTCGCAAGGCCTCGGTAATTTCCGTATGCTTTGAGAAAACTAAACTTCTTCCCCTGCGCGATGCGCAAACGTTTCTTCTAGACAGAACTCAGTCATGTTATGGCGGATCAGTGGCGTCTCCATCGCCCTCGTTGACAACGGACAAGCTAGCCATTAAACGTCTTGTGTGTAACATCAACACAAGTCACCGGCAGATGGGGGATATTTGTGGCCCCACATTTGCTTGTGTTAGTTAAGTTGAATCTAAGTCGATGTAACAGGATTTCTGATTGGATGGAAAGAAGGGAGATAATTCGTGTTGCGATCTTTTGCCGCTAGGGGATTTTACGAGAACCGGGAAATATGGCCGTATTAGAACAGAGGTTACGTAGGAAGATATGACAGGAGTAACCTCTGTGGGAAGAGAATGCGGCTTGGATAGAGATTGGTTATTGGCTATATCCTTGACCAGTCGATATGCTGGGTTTCGGCTTTATCAACTCAAGCTATCATGTAACAGTTTGTGTATTGTAAACATACACACTGGTAACGATGTATGAAATATACACATAAGACAAATAGGAGTAGATAGTCACTTTGGCGAGTTTATTTGTCCTCATTTTAGTGTTTTTTGATAAGTAAAACAAAGCGATTGAAATCCAACCACTGAGTAGAGGTAGTATTTATTTTCATATACATTTTATGCACACAACTAGTACATAAAACATAATGGTTTGCTGTACATGTAAATATAATCTTCACCTTGATACGAATGACGATCCAAACTAGAGTACACGCATTACAGAATTCACGAGGTGACACTATACTGAATTATTATAGTGTATAAACTTGTAGTTGACACCCCTACCCCCAATATTTATGAAGGTGGGCGTGCTTATATCTTTACTGAATGCAAACGAGGTTCATAAGATTACAGATGTGCATGCATGTATAAACATCACAGAGAGGGGCGTGACTCCATAAAGCAAGATGTCCAATGATATAACAGCGCATCTGTTTATTTTACACTTGTCACGGGACAAACCTTTCAACAAGGACGTAACTACATATGCATTCTACTGGAGGCTGTTATTTCAAGGTCGAAAGAGGCGTTCAATTATCTCATTACTGTAATCTGGCATCAATCTTCGTCATAATCCCCTTTCTCGCCGACATGCGTTCATTTGCTAAACGCTGTACAAGCCTATGATAATGATTAGCAATTGTTATCAAAACACTTTAAATACTTCTTCTGATTGATACTAAAGGTGGGATCTCTCGTAAGTAAAGCTAACATTTGCTCAGTACTGCTAAATTGGTTGAAATAATAGGTACAGTGCGATTTTTAAAGTACAAGACACATGTGCGTCTCTGGCTGAATAAGAGGTGATTTCTGTTGACGACTGTATGTGGCTCTCGCTGTGAGAAACTGCTAATTACCTGCCCCATAAACACGTCACTCGCTGTGAGGAGCTGATTAATTTGCCCCATAAATGCGTCTCTCGGCCTTAATGAGTTAAACACTGTAACTATTTTCTATTGGTGTGGTTCTTTCACCTTAATTAGTGCATGAGTATAGCTTAACACTAGTGGTTTAGACAGTGTTGTTACACTTCGATGTAGAATCTGTAATGTTAGACGGGAAGCTGGGTGTTTACACACCTCCAAAACAGGCTGCAACGTTACAGGAACATACAGTACAACCAGAAATTATTGAGAATTTAAAGATTGTAATTTAAAAAAAAAAAATTCCACTCATTACTCACGTATTAAATGTGAATATTAGCAGAACATAACTCCAGATTCAAAGACAGGTGAACAGTTAGTATTTTGTCAAGTCACCATGGGCAGCAATGCAGGCTTCAATGTGGCGGGGCATACTACTGATCAAAGAAGTTAAAAAGTCGTGGTCTATGCTCTCCCAATATTGGACCACCTCTTCTTTCATTTCAGCAATATTTGTCAGATTTTTCTTATTGACACTTTCCTTCATAAGTCCCCAAACATTTTCTATTGGATTTAGGTCAGGGCTATAGCTTGGCCAATCTAATAATGTCATATTTTGGGTCCAAAACCAGGCCTGTGAATGATTTGAACGATGTTTTGGGTAGTTGTCCTGCTGGAAAATCCAAAAATTTTCATAGAACACGTGAGCAGATGGAAGTAAATGTCCCTCGAGAATATCTGTGTACCGTTCACTGTTCATATTCCCTTCAAATACACAGAGGGGCGTTGCCCCTATCACAGATATTAAACGTTAAATTTCGGACTGTACTTTGGACGCTGAAGGTTTTTCAGTTTGTTTGTTCCAGAATTTCAGTGTATTAGGAAACAGTCACACAGAACTTTCGTCTGAGAAAATCACTAGTCCCAGTTAAAATTTCTATGCTGAAAGCGCCAGTTCAACCTTCGCTCCTTTTGTTCAGGTTTCATGATCGGTGATGGAATTCCTCGACTTTTCTGCCAACCCATTGCATACAGCTCAGTTTTAATTGTCTCCTTACAGACAGCCACAGTTCATATATCAATCATATCCAGCCTTAAGTTTTCTAAACTCCTTCGTTTGTTTTTAGAAACAAGAATACCAAGCCACCTCCTGTCACCGACAGTCAATTTTCTGGGCCTACCTGCGGCTCCCTGGTGCTCAATACCATATCCATTTGCAATATTTTTCAAAACACGATAAACAGTGGACAAAGGGACAAAGGGATGCCTGTTCTACTTGAAATCACTTTAGCTGATCTGATGACCTTGTTATAATACTCTAAAATCAACTTCCTCTTCTCTAAATCATCCATACTGAGGATCACTGAAAATGTCGTCTGCTAGCAAGTAAACAAAGGGGGATAACTCTTCACAAACTAATGAAAAAGGATTAACGGAGTTGTCTCTCTTGAATGAAACCAAGCACTTGATAGCTGGTCAAGGTTGTTTATACTAGAAATCCAATTAAACATATTCCTAAAATTCTCAATAATTTCTGGTCATACTATAGATGGATGAATGATTGGATATCTTGTGGTGGGCTGTAGTGATGCATGAGTGGGTGGATAGGTGTGAGAGCTGACAGATGAGCAGGTAAGTATGTGGATGGGGTATAGGGTAAGATAGCTATGTGTAGGAGAGTGTGTGCCTGTGAGTTGTGTATGTGTGGAGTTGAGTTGAGTTGGTGGATGGCAGTGGTGGATGGACAGTTGGCTGAGCAGAGGTGTGACTACGCTCGTACAAGGGAATGGGGGGTGAGTGTGCCAGTATTGTGTAGGAAAACTGGGTTAAATTATAGCGTAAGCATGGGGGCAGGGGCTTCATAACGGGATATTCAACTATACGTACCACATATAGAATAACTGTGTACCAGATAGTCTTGTAGCACATTGTTTCACTTGCTCTACTACGGGACAACTTCTTGTCCGGGGTTACCGTTCATCGTAAGCGCTAGATACATTGGGTGGGCCACGTGGTTGGTGCTAAATATGTTGGGTAGGCTCTGATTGGCAGAGACGTCCGTCATCTGTAGGTGACCTTTGACCCATGTCAGAGGTCGTTCTAGAGCGCTGTATAAGTGACCTGGCTCTCTGGATTCGGTGTCTAGCTTTCGGTCATCCGAGCATCAGGTAATATCTCTGTCCCGAGGTCCTGTTTCAGGATCATTCCCTCCCCGTTTGCAGAGTGGAATGTTAGGTTTTATGTAGGGGGATGCTAAGTTCTGTATATTCGTGTTAGGTCGGGTTGGGGGAAAAGTAGAAGTAGGGAACGGAATAGGTATTAAGCTTTAGACTTTGGGTAATGTCCAGTTAAACGGGGTTGGTTTGGGGTGGCTTTTCAGAAGAAGTTTCTCTATGGATTGTTAAAATGGGGAAGTTAGGTTCCTGTTAAACTAGTGTTAGGTTGGGTTGGGGGAGAATTAGGAGTAGGAAACGGAATAGGAATTAGGTTATAGACTTTGGGTAAAGTCCAGTTAGACAGGGTTGGTTTCGGGAGGTTCTATTTTGAAGAGGTTTTAGGGTTTGGTGTTTTTCCTCACGAAGCTGGTTTTCTTAAATCTAATTATGTGAGTGAGAGAGAAGTGTAGTTTACAGACTGTTAAGTTTTTGTTTGTCTTTTGTAATAAATTATTATCAGTGTTATTTTGTGTCTGTTATTTCCCAATAGGCTTTATGCCCAATTCACGAACTGGTCACTGAGTTTTGAGTAGAGAACAGATCACCTATAAAATAAAAGTACACAACGCAAAGTCCAAACAAGGTTGATTAAACATCATGTTCCTACACACTACTTAACTTAACTCAGCTGTCACTGGGCGATGGTAGTCTACTGAGAACCACGCCCATTACAATTGTAAGGAATTTAGTGCTTTGTTGATATGACATTCTAATGTGTATTTTGTTATGTTTTAATTAATGTCCCTAAGGCAATGTTGGTTGGCTGGTATAAAATATTGTATTCGCTATTGTATTTTCATGACTGTGCACTGTGAGACACTATAATCAGCATTTTATTGTTTTGAGATTGAGTGATAGATGGCAAAATTCAAATTTTGTGTATATGCTCGGATGATGATACATTGTGAAGAATGCATAAAGCTTACATTCAGTTTTTTAAGAATGTGATCTCTTTTCAGCAAGTGCACCCATTCATCAGTACTGGCCTTGCCACATCCAAGTTTGGAGTAAGCACTGAAGATCTTGAGGAATGTGTCAGTCTTCTTGAAAAGTGCAGTCAGATTACACTGGTTGGTCTTCACTGTCATGTGGGATCAACAATACAAAATGTTTCAGTTTTCAGGTGAGAGAGCTCCTTAGCTTTAGTGATCGCATTTCTAATTTATTGGGTTGTCAAAGTCATATTGGAAACTGATATATGTCCACTCTTTTTGTAAATGCATTGTGTCAAACTCATATCAAATACATGACCAATAACACATAAATAGTATGATTACCAGCATGTGTCTAAGTTCCACCACACAAAGGTTGTTGACATCCCATTGTAAATGGAATGCATTACTTAACGTCAGTGGAACTGACAGATCCAAACAAGTCAACACAAAATGTTTTCATATTTCATAAGAATACCTTTTCTGTAAATGATATTTATTACTTATGCATGTAGTGATTTTATCATTTGCATATAAAGCAGTAGTTATCCTTTTAATCATTCAAGGAATCTTGCTGAGGTTGGAGGATGACGAAGGTATCATTCACTTTGCGATACCAACATGTGGGTTTGAAGGGTGCAGTATCTAGTGCTTTATCTTCCAGGTCCGTCATGTAAATTTCGGTTAGGATGGGGGATAAGGGGGAGCCCATGGGAAGTCCATGAATTTGTTCATAGATCTCGTCCCCAATGATGAGATCTATACATGACGTCCTCCAACCTCAGCAAGATCCCACTCAGCTTCTCACCCATCTCAACAACCAACATCCCCGCATCAAGTTTACCATGGAAACCGAGCAGAACCAGCAACTACCTTTCCTTGACGTCCTTGTGTCCCGCACCTTCTGCAACCAACTGTATATAGAAAACCTACCCATACGGATCAGTACATCCACTACAACTCCAATCATCCACCTAAAGTTAAGACCGGCATCATCTCCACACTAACCAGAAGGGCCAAGAACATCTGCTCAACTAAACTACAAGATGAAATCCAACACCTCAAGAAAGTCTTCGTAGAACGTAACCACTTTCCATCTCAAATAGTCAACAGAACCATCGCTGCAACCCTGTCACCTCCTACCAAAAGACCCAAACCAGATTCAGCCCCCATCAAGATATCCATCCCCTACATTGGCAAACCGTCACATCAAATCAGCCGCCTCCTAAAACACCAAGCTGGCATAGATACCACCTTCTCCGCGTCCTCCAACCTTAACAACATTCTCCATGCTAATGGAAGAAAACCCGCCACCGTAAAGAACAACAACCCAAAATGTGTCATCTACAAAATAAACTGTGATTGTGGGCAGAGCTACATAGGCGAAACTTCCCGGCCCATCAACACCAGAGTGAAAGAACATCAGACCTCTGTTACCAATTCCGACAGCAAATCAGCCATTTCCGACCACATCAAAGCAAGCCCCAATCATCAAATAGAGTGGTCTGACATCACCATTCTCTCTAACAAACAAACAGACTTTACTAAACGCAAGCTCACCGAAGCCATCCACATCAAACGCCAAAAGCCCACGATCAACCGAGACCAACGATACTTCATTCCATCCGCTTATGGTGCACTCATCCACCAAGCCCAATCTACTGTATAAACTCTGCTGTATAAACATCTCATTATTAGTTGTACATCATTGGCTTCCACGCCTGTCCTTTGTCTACTCTCTGGCTTCATCAGCTTTCTGCCTAGCCAATTATGTTAATTATGTTGTTTTCTTTGTTACATTGTTACATCCAGTATATATACACTTCCCCCTTCTTCATGTTCCATTATGCTTGACAACGGTACAAGAATCTGTATCGAAACGTCGCACTCACGAATAAAAAGAAGTTGTTATCCATAAAGTTTGTTCGATATAATACACAAACTGTTTCATGATAATTTGAGTTGATAAAGCCGAAACCCAGCATATCAACTGGTCAACGACATAGGCAATAAACAATCTCTACCCAAGCTGTTGAGTGACCAAACGTGCTCTTCAGAAATTTCGCCCACCCCCAATCACGTGTCCCTTCTTCTGTGACACGCATCTCATGATTTGATTGGTCATAGACAACAAATGATCAGCCACTATATTGAGCGATTGAGATACCGCATGTTCTATTGGGGAAATTTGATGACGCCCTATCACGTGACTCTTTGTTTTATGTTTATACAAGGAATATGTATTATACAAGTTTTATATGTATGTTCGTATGATAACGTATGTTTTTGCATTAAATCTAGATGAAACAAAGTGCCAAGCTATGTATGTGCTCTATGTTAGTCACATACGAGCGTAATAGTACTTTCCTTAAAATATTCAGTATACACTAGAAATGTGTTGGCAAAAACGCTAATATCGTAGAAGATTATAAAACATGTAAGTAAATTCTTCTTTACAGTCTGTCATTGTCAGAGATGTTTTGTAACCTCACACAATGATATGACAGAGAGAATTTGTTTATGTATGTCTCATCTGTTACATACAAATAATACACATGTATGTTGATAAAATATTGTAACGCCAAACAGGGGAGGGTATACTATTTGATGCTCAGAGTCACTAAAATATGTACCCTTGTGCATGCGAACGTGTAAGTGTAGAATTTAATAGTCTGATTGATAACCTGGTAGCGCAAGTTTGTTTAAAAACATGTCTAAATTCCGCCCCCTAATTTGCATTACACCAGGGAGACTATATAAGGGGGAGTGGTCACTCCTCGGAAAACCCCTTAGCGTATGCCTCGGCTTGTCACGTGACCAGTGTAGCCAATATGGCAGAAGTGTAGTTTTTAAGATTGAGCCCGGTTTATTTTCAACATCTGATTACATACGCTGAGTGTTGTGACAACTGAAAACCTACATGTAGAAGATAAGTTACCTATTCTGTCACTTCATTTTAAGTCAAATAATTGTTATTATTGTCAGTATTAGTACAGTAGATTTGTAGTAAAGTTTCAAGTCGGCATGTTGTAGCTCACTGGCTTCAATTGGCAGTACACAGCAAAGAAAGACTAAATTATATCGCTAAAAACTTCTGTAACATATTTGTTTAATTTTTAGAAGGGAAATATACCTTTAGTTGAAAGGTGTTTGCAAGTAGTGATAGTTTTATAACTAAAGAAAATTTGTTAGGGTGTATTTGAGGTGTGTGAAAAATATGACATATCGCCGATCTGCCATTGAAATACTACAGGGCGTTGTTTGAGTGTTTCTAGTTATTGTTCTAAAACATCTTTCACATACACCTTCAATTTTTATGAGGGGAATATACCATCAGGTGAAAGGTGTTTGCAAGTAATAGTGATAGTTTTATAATTTAATTTTTTTTGTTAGGGTGTATTTGAGGTGTGTGAAAAATATGGCATGTCGCCGATCTGTTCTGATACGCCATTGATGCTTGTGATACTTGAGTGTTATAGTTCTAAAACTTCTTTCTATCTTGTTGATCTTAGTATGTGACAAAACTGGAAAGGTGTTTACAACGCTTTGTGATAGTTCTAAACTTTTTGTTTTTGAGGGGTCTGTGACAGTGTCAGTTAACATTCTGTCAATGCCCATGCCATTCCACACGTGCAATAAGATATCTGAATTAGTTACTAATGTAAAAAAATGTCTCAAAGTAGATTTTAAAAAAAAAGGACAGCTGATGTTAACACGTGTTCTACCGATAGTTTTGCGTTCTTTAACAGGTTTGGGGAGGGATGGCCGTGGTGTATCATTTATTCTTTCATTCTTTCACATATGTATTTCTTTCTTTTGTTCTTTTTCTTTATTTCTTTCATTCATTCACATATAATTCTTGCTCTTAATTCTTTCATTCATTCATTGTAAAATTCCGACTGATACAATACACTGGCTGAAGTACTGTTAAATGCAGCCGAAGTTGCGCTGGGAACGAACCAAGTCACTGTGTGCGTTGGAGCAAGACGAGGCACACGTTAATTAGTACAAATGGTAAAGAAAGCAAGCGAGTGACCAATCCCTGTAGTAGAGTATCCCTGATTACACTAACGAGTTCGCTTGTTACTCCAATAAAATATATTGCTGATAGGTGATAAATGTAGGGAATACGTGTTAAGATAATTAAACTTGTGATATGTAAACTATTGTGTTCAGTTTAATTCGCTTGTATATAAGACTTCTGCGCTTCGTGTTTAGATCATAGAAAACGTCAGCCATGTTGAAAATACAATGTACTTGTTCCTGATTGGTCAGTTCCTGGGAGGACTGCCCTTTAACCTCTGACCCGACATTCCATGCATCTATAATTAGCTAGCTGACGTTTACAAATGACTAGACTTGACATTGGTTTCTGAACCTGCAAAACTTGTACTTTTCATAACTCCGAAACTTTTGGAACAGCAACATGAAACTTTGCGTAAAAAAGTACAAGATGCATTTCAACAACAATAATAATTTATTAATACAGTAACATATCTACATATATACACTTCAAAAGAGACTTAGAAAAATACTCTATATTGGTACATGCCTATCATGACGCCCTAAATTACAGTACCAACTGACTGCTAATCCTAATTAGAAATTCCCCAAATTCATTATTAATAATTCTTATAAGTCCTGGTTTACATTTACAAATTACTTATATAAAATATACTGAGTCCTGGTGAATGTTCTGCCATCCTCACCTCTTAACTTTGCTTTGATTCCGGCATATGGATGTTTAGCTGCTTAAAGCCTCCAAGAAATGCAGGCAGATTTACGGTAGCGTCTCCCTTTTATCCTTAATTACAATGACGTCACAATTGAAATGCACCCACAGCAGTGACCACGTGACCATGCGAGAGATTCGAAAACAAATATGGCGGCACCCATAAAACAACCTGTCATCCCTACGCTGTTTGACGATTCTAACAACTATAGGGCTTACGCACATATTTTATTCTGACAGTAAGGTAATAAACGTATTCTCTATATACCTGAGAACTAGTTTAATGATGTACAATCGCTTCCTAATGTCATAATCTAACCTAGTAATCTAGCGGATGTATGATGGACATTCGATTCGACAGTTACGTGCAGAATGACGTAATGACCAGTACGTTTTAGAATAAGCTAATGATACCCTTTTGCGCTTCAATATGAATGTACAAGACGCCAAAGGTCTCCT